GGGGAGAGAGAGAGAGAGAGAGAGAGAGAGAGAGAGAGAGAGAGAGATATGCTAAGCAGTGGGATGTAACAATCTCCCTGGGCTGAGCAAAGAGGACCCAGGGCTTCAGCCAAGTTCTGAGGCCCCCATTTGACCCAGCTCAAGAAAACCCGTCCAGCATCCATGGCAAGGGCCCCACCAACCCTGTCCATGGTCCTGCCTCTTTCTCTATGAATGGTGTCTGGCGTGCAGCAGTGCCACCCGATCCTCCCTCCTGCACTCACTGTGTCCTCCACTTCCTCCCTGAGGCAGCCCGTCCCCCAGACAGACCCCGACACCGAGTCCTGCTCTTATCTTGCTGCTCCCTTTGCTCATCTCTCCTGGCAACTTCCCCTGAGCTTCCGTCTGCTCCAGGCAAGCACCACCCTTGACCCTGGGCCTCACTTCACCTCTCCCCTAAGTCTGTTCCACTCCTGCACCTCAGAGTAATGCCCCCAGCCTGCTCTTCTTCAGCCTCTCAGTCTTTCATGGCTCCAACTCCAATCGACTCAGTGGCAGAGCCACCTTGATGGCTATAACTGCACCCAGATCTTGGCCCTTGCAGGACCCCAGATCAGAGCATGGCTTGGAGTGAGACGCCCAAGGAACTGGCCTGGAGTTCTCCCTCTCAGCTGCTCACCAGCCCCCGCCTAGGCTCCCACCCAAGCTGATGGCTGGATGATTTGCTGTCTCCTAAAGGAAGGCTCTCTGAGTCAGAACTCACTGGGCCCTGCTGAGACCCCCATACCTCTTTTCTTTCTGATGGAGGTGTTAGAGAGATTCAACACAGGACCTTTGCATTTAACTGCATCTCCAGTCCTTTTTAATTTTTAATTTTGAGGCAGACAATGGCCAAGTCGTCCATGCTATCTTCAAATAATTGTGATTCTTTTGCTCCAACCTCTGGGGCTGACCTGATAAGATTACAGGCTCCCTATGGTCACATCCCTACAAACTCTAGATGGAGGCCTTGGGCGGGGTCCCGGGGGATCCAGTGTCTTGCTCCTCCTCTGGGAGACCCCGCTCTCTGTCTTGTTTCTGCTGCCTGTGTGTGTGTGTTTGTGCTGGAGCCACCCATGTGTGTAGATGGCAGTGAGGGAGGAAGATTGATTGGGGGCTGAGTGATGAGATGAGCGACCGTATCCCTCAGCCTCGGTCACCCCTTGGCTGTGACATTGCTCTGCCTCTCAGACCCCCAGGATGATGTGGCTTCACCTGAGCATGGTGGCGGTGAGGTTGTAGCTGTGGTCATCTTGCAGCTCATAGGTGACGCTGTGCATTTTAAGCTGGTTCACTTCCTGAATGGGGTCCTCTGCCTCAGCTATGATGTACCACTTCCCCTGGAACTGTGAGGAGATGGTGACAGGCAGAGCTCAGGGATGGTCCCAGCCTGCTCCCAGGCTGTCTCTGCCGGGACTTCTCAACAGCCCTCTGGGAAGCAGGCTGTGGGGATGGGGTGGCCCTGAGCAGCTGGGAGGAGTCGAGCTCTTCAGTGGTTGTAGGGACCCTGGGTGAGGAGCTTTCCCTGAGTAGTTGGGGATGGGGTGGACCTAGGTAAGGGGTTGCTGAGCCTTTCTGAACCTCAGTTTTCTCCTCTGTGCCAAGGGACTGAAGTTGTTCCCACCTGGCATGCACTGGGCCTGGCCACCCCCAGTCCTGATTCTTCTCACCCACCACTACCACTGACTCCCTTGGCAGTTCATGGGCAGTTCTTGGCCGTCTGCTCCCACTGTCCCTGCCCCTCATTCCCACCCTGCAGCTGCCTTTCCAGAGTCCCTACCTGGTCATCCTGAAAGTCTTGCTGCAGGGGCACCTTGATCAGATCTGGGCGTAGTTTCAGGTTTGCCGAGGTGTCCTGGGCTTGAGTCTGCAGCGATCCCAGCAGGGTGAGACCAAGACACAGGAGACTCAGGGCCATGGCTTCAGAGCAGCTGCTGAGCTTGGAAGGTGGAAAAGGAGGAGAAGGAGTGTTGAGGTGGCCAAGCAAGGGGAAATTTTTATAGGACACCTGGCTGCCGCCCACTCCAGGGTGGGCGGATCCATTCCCCGCCTATCCAGGAAAGGCCCACTCACTTGTCAGCAAGTCCATCAGAAACATTTGTGTTTTTCCCCTCTGGTCAGGATTATGGAACGTAGTGAGAGTGGACAACTACCATTCCAGGGCCTCAGAATGTGGCCTGGACAGGAGGGGTTCCCTGTTAGTCCGGTGTTTCTCTCCTCCTCATATCATTCCTGTTCTTGGGTCAGCAGCTTGGGTCTGGAAAAGCTGCCGTCACTGACTCAGTGAGCCCACGGAGGGGGTTTGTGTGGCAATATCCCCTCCTACTCCTCTAAAAAGAAAAGAATACCCCAGGCATGTGGGTTTGTGACTGTATTTTCCACATTTAAGGGGCTGAGGCTGGAGGGTTGCCACAAGTTTGAGGCCAGCCTGAGCTATGTAGTGAGTTTGCTGTGAGACTGGATGAGAATTATTCCATGTCTGAAAAAATGAAACAATAAATAAATAAAAAGAAGAGGAAACAAACAAACAAGCAAATAACCTTACACTTCAACAGGTGTTCTGCCACTTCTTGGTACTCAGAAAGGTGCTGGGTAGGGCGGAGTGGCTGACAGTGGATATTCTGGTCAGGGTGCTGCTCTGAGACTCATTAGACCATGACACAGGTCTCAGAGGAGCCTCAGGTCAGGCCCTGGCAAGGGGTGAGATGCCTCAAGCCCCTCTCCTCCCTCATTCTCCCAACTCATCAGCAGGAGTAGACAGGACAGCAGAGACCCTCGGGGACTTCTCCTCTCTTGGGAGCCCAGTAGGCAAAGCCCCAGAGCCGGGTACAATTGGCCCAGCTGTGGCTGTTTGGCAAAGCCAAGTGCCGAGGCTGCAGGTGCAGCTCACTGTAGAGTCCTGGCAGGGGGCCATGGGTCAGAACCCTTCCCAGAGCAAGGTGGGCCACACGCTGCTGCTATGTACACCACTGACTTTGGGTGACAGGGTGCCAGAATTTGGCCTTGCCCTTGGGAGGTCATTCAGATCAGTGTTGTGTCTCTGGCCGCATTTTGGGGCTGTGCAGCCCTGTGGCTCAAGCCTGGGTCCGGACTGACAGCCTGGGGCAGCAGCAATGATCCCAGCCCTTTACCATGTCCCCCTGAGGTGGCTCACCCATGAGGGCGGTGTCAGTCCTGGGTGCCTATCCGGAGGCTGAACCGGGTAATCTGTGGCTTTACAAGGAACAAACGTGGTTCTCATTGTCTCTGCCCACCTGCTGCTTGGGCCTTAGGCTGAGTTTTAGTACTGGGCCAAATGAAGGGGCTTTAGCGGGAGTCCTGAGCTGGTGGGTGGGCTGCATTTCCCTCTTTCCCCTCCCACTTCCCATCCCCCCTGCACCTTTTATTCCTATTTCATGTGATCTATTTTACATTTCCATCCTTATTTAAACTTTCAGTTTCTCACACCAGAGAAACTACTTGGCCTTTACACACATGTGTTCTATTTATTTCACTTAAAGGCATGGCCTCCATGTGCACCCATTTAACAATAAACACCTCTAATTTCTCATTCTTTACGGCTGAGTAGAACTCCATTCTAGAAAACATAAACATTTTCTTTATCCAGTCTTCAGTTCATGGGCAATTGGGCTGTTTCCAAGTTTTAGCTATTACAAACTGCGCTGCTATGAACATGGGTGAGCGTACATCACTGTGGTATGATTATTTTAATTCTTTTGGAAAGACACCCAGCAGGGGAATAGCTGGGTCAAGTGGGACCTCTAGGCCTAGTTCTTTGAGGTAGCTCCATACTGATTTCCACAGTGGTTGCACCAGTCTGCACTCCCACCAACAGTGGAGAAGGGTTCCTTTCTCCCCACAACACTGCCAGCATTTGATATTTGTTGATTTCTTGATAGTAGCCATTCTTTCTGGAGTGAGGTGGAATCTTAGCTTTGTTTTCATTTGCATCACTCAAATGACCAGTCATGGTGAACATTTTTTCATATGTTTATTTGCTATTTCTACTTCTTTTTCTGAGAAATGTCTGTTCATTCCAGATGCCCATTTTTGGATTGGGTCTTTAAATTTGGGAGGTCTGATTTCTGTAAGTTACTTATACATTCTAAATAGTAAACTTCTGTTTGAGGCACGCTGGTTAAATGATTTCCCTCATTTTGATTTGTCTTTCCATGCTGTTGGTGGTTTATCTTGCTGTTCAGAAGATATTTTTTTCAGCTTTAATTGAGTTTATTGGTACATTTTAGGGATACAGTACAGTTTCAGAAGCTTTTTAATAAGAACAGATCCCATTTGTTGACGGTTTGTGGTAGTTCACGTGCAACCGAGGTTTTGTTCATGAAATGTTGCCATATGCTAATATCTTCAAGAGTTCTACCTAACCTCTCTTCCAGTTGGTTTAGTGTTTCTGTTTTAATATTTAGATATTTATTCCATTTCGATTTCAGTTAAGTGCATGGTGAGGGATATAGGTCTAGTTCTGACCTTTGGCAAGTTATGCCCAATTTTTCTAGCACCATTTATTAAAGAGGTTATCTTTCCTCCGGTGAGTGTATTTGGCTCCTTCGTCAAAGATGAAGTGGATGAGTGTGTCTGGAGTTGTTTCTGCATCATATAATCAGTTCCACTGGTCTTCAGGTCTGTTTCTGTGACAGTAACCTGCTGGGGGTTTTTTTTTTGTTTTTTTTTTTTAATCACAGTACCTTTGTAGTATAGTTTCAAGGTGGGGATTGTCATACCCCTACCTTGTCCTTGTTTCCTAGTATTGCTTTTGCTGTTCTAGGTCTCTTCTTGATCCAAATGAATTTTTGGATTGTTTTCTCAAGGTCTGTGAAGTATGCTGCTGGGATTTCAATTGGGATTGTGTTGAATCTATATAGCAGTTTTGGAAGTATGGCTACTTTCGCTGTATTGATTCTTTTTACCCAGGAGAAAGACAAGTCTTTCTACTTACTGATATCCCTTTTGTTCACTTTTTTCAGAGTACTGTAATTTTTGGAGCAGAGGTCTTTGATTTTTTTTGTTACGTTGATTGTTAAGCATTTCATTTTTTGGATGCTACTGTGAAGGGAGTTGTTTCTCCAGTTTCTCTCTCATTGAGTCTGTTGTTCATGTAAAGGAAAGCTATTGATTTTTTCTTTGTTGACCCTGTATCCAGCTACATGGCTAAATTTGGTTATTAAGTATAGAAGGCTTTTAGTGGAGTTTTGGGGGTCTTCTCTATAGAGTATCATGTCATCTGCAAATAATGGCAATTAGACTACTTCATTTCCTATCTTTATTCCTTTTATTTGTTTCTCTTGTCTAATTGCTGTGCTTATGTTTCCAAAATGTATTGAACAGGATTGGTGATAGTGCATGTTTTTGTCTTGTTCCTGATTTATGTGTGAAGGGTTTCAGTTTTTGACCATTTTGCGTAATACTGGCAGTTGGTTTTTTTCTGGATGGCTTTTATCAGATTGAGGTGGAGATGTTCTATTTCAATTTTCTGTAGGGTTTTTATCAGAAGGCATGTTGGATTTTGTAAAATGTCTTTTTCCATTCATTGAGATGATCATATGGTTTTGTCCTTGGCTTTATTAATATAGTATATAGCATTTATTGATTTGCAAATGTTGAACCATCCCTGCATCCCTTGGATGACTCTCCCTTGGTGAGGGTGTATGATCTTCATAATGATCTCCTGCATTCTATTTCTGAGTATCTTACTGAAGATGTTTGCATCTGTATTCACTGCAGAGATTGACCTATAGTTCTCTCCTTTGGTTAGGTCTTTCTCTGCTTTTGGAATGCTTGCCTCCAGGAATGAATTTGGAAGTATTGCTTCTCCTTCAATTTCCTTAAAGAGTTTAGACAGCAGATGGAATAGTTCTTCTCTAAGTGTGTTGTAGAATTCAGCAGTGAAGCCACGAGGACCTGGGCTTTTCTTAGTGGCTAAGTTTTTAATTATGTTTTCAATTTAATCAATTGATATATTGGGTTGTTTGGCATTTTTAGGTCTTTTTTCAACTTTGATAATTCGTATATATCTAGGAATCTGTCCATTTCTTCTGTGTTTTCCACTTTATTGGCAAATTGTTTCTCAAAGTAGGTATTGGCAATCCTCTGGATTTCCTCTGGGTCTGTTGTTATTTCACTCTTTTCATTTTTAATTGCTTGGATTTTGGTCTTTTTTTGATAAAGTTGGCTAATGGTTTGCCAATTTTGTTCAGTTCATTTATATTTTTGTATTGTTCTCTTAGTCTCTATTCCATTATTTTCTGCCCTGATCTCAATGAGAAAAAAAAAAGAATGACAAACTAGAGTCATTTATAGCTAAATGGATGCACATTGATGCCATACTCTTAGGTGATACATAGGACACATGTGTGTAAATACTGAATAGTTTCTCTGGTGTGAATAATCTAAAAGGGTAAATAAGGATCCAAATGTATAATTGAAAATGAAAATAGGAAGAAATGATCTAAAGGCATAGGGGAAGTGGGAAGGGTAGGAGAAAAGAAATAAAGAAAAAATACAAAAAAAGGAAAATATGGAAACAAAGTCTTTATAAACAGGGCAGGGTGGAGGGGTTGAAGGGAGGCCAGGGAATAGGGAAGAGTTAAGAATCAAGAAACATCAAATAAAGGTACGAGATCCCAATGACGAATGTAACTGTACTGTATAACTAAAATGTACCAATAAACTTAATGGGAAAAAAGCACGGCATTGCCACTAAAATAGCCATGTGGATCAGTGAAACAGAGTGCAGGATCTAGAGGAAACCCTAAATATATTCAACTACTTGATCTTTGACAAAGGGGCCAAAAACATACACCGGAGGAAAGATAACCCCTTTAATAAATGGTGTTGATCAAACTGTCTACCCATATGCTGAAGATGGACTCTAGACCAATATCTCACTATGAACTAAACGAAACACAAAATAGATTAAAGACTTACCGTTCAAATAGAAACATTTCCTCTGTTGCAAGATAAAATAGTAAAACTCTTGAATCCACAGGCACAGGCAAGGACGCTCTGAATAGAACACCGGTTGCACCAAGAATCAAGAGCTGAAATTGAACAAAAAGGAGGGGGTTCGATGAGGAATGCACAGAAGCCTGCTCCAAAAGCTGGAAAAGACAGAGGAGTGGACGCTTCCCTAGGCACCCCAGGGGCACAGCGCTGCATATACCCTCTTAGCCCAGTGACGTGACTCAAATATCAGCTTCCAGAGTGGGAAGACAGTTCACGCATCCTGTGTGAAGCTGGGGGTTTGTGACCACTCCTTACATGTCAGGCATCCAGCCATGCAGGAAGGAAACCCAGAGACCAGTTTGTGCCCTGAGTTGTCGGCCTAAAAGGCTTAGCAGGAACAAGGTATGATGTGAAGCTGCCTTGCTTGCGCCAAGGTAAGAAACTGAAGCAGCACAAAGTGAATCCCAAGGGGCAGGGATACAGGTTGCAGTGTCTTTCCCCTTGGGCTGCTAGCGGGCCTTTGTCTACCAGCCCTCAGGTTCTGTCATCCTGGAAGCTCTGTGGGTCACACAACAGACTTACAGAACATTCTACCCTCAATTCTTCGTGGTCTATGTGTGAGATGAATTTTTTGCAAAAGGCCTGAAGAACTGAGGATCAAGGAAATGAGGGGTGGGAGTTTGCTCCATCAAGACCTGGCTTTTGGTGACAAAGGCGTTCAAGTCCCGCAGTGGAGTGACATCCATAAATGAATGAAAATGTGACCATAGTTCAGTATAGTTGAGTTGGGTCACTTTCACTTGTCAGGGTATTCCACAGCCCATGTCTCCTCAGTCATGGCCTCATGATTACAGGTGTGTGCTCTTGGTGGTTCACAGAGAGCTTCTCATGGGCCCTCCAGAAGCCTAGAGCACATTAAACCACTTGTCTTTCCCAGCTAAGGTCTAGAGTTAAGTTGGGCAA